CCCCATTCATAGCCGCGTTACGGGGCGTATGATTAATATTTGCCAGCAATAAGTGACCCGGTCGCACGTGTCTGGCCGAGGCGAGACATTGCTTTGCCTCGAATGCGACTGCCTCTTTGTCAGTTTTAAATTCAACAAGGCCACGCCCCGCACGGCCTACGCCCAACACACACGCACACGCACACGCACACACACACGCACCCACACACAGAACGCACTTGAGTGAAATCGCCCCCGCCCAGTACATAAATCTCTCAAGTGTCACATAAAATTTCGGCACATGCACGGAATCAAAATGAAAAAAATAAACGACAACAACAATAAAAATTGTAGAAAAAAAGAGGGAACGCAAATGCCGAAAGCAACGAAGTCTTAATACACTTTGTGGCATGTCAAGCAAATAATTTAATATCAAAATATGTAAGAAAATATATTATTATTTTCACAATTCAAATTTTAAATATTAAAATAGTTTTTAATGATAATTATATAGATTTACATGCTATCTACATCTATAAAATAAATTCTCTATAAAATATAAATTCTAGAAAATTATAGAATCTGATATGAGAAGCTCGAATCGAATGGCATACTGCATGCAACCCTTCGTAGAGTATATTAAGTAAAAGCAATGAAGGTGTGGGCTGTAGAGTAGCCGGCACTCACAGGCTGTAGTGCAATAAGTCAAGTTATCAAAGTTAATAATTCTTAATGTTAGTGCATAAATAAGACAAGGGCTATAAGGACACGCAGCCAGACACAAGAACATGCTGAGAAGGAGAGAGATGGAGAGAGAGAGTAAAGGACGAGGACATGTAACTGGCAGTGCCCATAAAAGTATGCTACATGACAGTCAAAACGCAGAACTTCAAATAAATACAAAAATGAACATTTTAAATTTATGCAAAAAACAGATGAAAAAGAACCGATGCCAGGCAAAAAGAAAAGAAAAACAGCCGGCTAATTTGCATAAAGAAATCGGCTAGCGGCAAACGAGGGGCGATGTGTGTGTGCGACTGAGTGTGTGCGGGCTGTGCAGCGAGGCGGCAAATATGAAACTCGCAAGTGTTTATGCTGACATCGCGACAAAAAAGAAAATACACATCTATTTACACGCACATGTACACGCGCACACACACACACACATCTTTATTTATACAACTGTTCGCCTTTATTTGGCAAGCCTTTGTGGCTAATAGCGCACACTGTTTGCTTAAAGCAGGAAGGCATAAATGCCACAAGACCCGAGCAATAAAGCGCACAATCATTTCATGTGCACGACACACAGCAGCTATACGTATGTGTCTGTGTCTGTCTGTGTGTCTATATGCGAGTGTGTGTGTGTGCGTGTGCGTGTGACTAGCTGAAGGAATGTGTCACTGACCATGGCCATCAGGTTGGCTTTCGCGGTCAAACTCAACAGTTATCGGCTTAGGGTTTGGTTTTAGGCATTACAACATATGTTGCGCATTTTGTAAAGCCTTCTTCTTTGGATATACTTATAATAAATTGTATATGCTAATTTGGAGATATATACATATAGGTTTTACCTATGGCTAACAATATAATGCTGTTGCCTTTTAAGTTATTCAAAATGTTTGCCCTGCGGCAGACTGTCGTAATATATGGTCTGCTGCCGCCAGCCATTATTCAATATATTCATTTATATATTTTACACTATTTTTCAGCATATGCTTGACATCCGAGCTGATTATCATAAATTTAAATTCATGCACACTTAAGTAGGGCCCGTACCATTTACATAATTAGCTTTGCTCGTGCCTGGCACCAGAAGGAAGTTGAAGAAATTGAAGCAAGCCAAAGGCGCAAAGACGCAGCAGAGTTCATTGTGCCACAATTCATTTGGCTAAAAGTGTACATAAATGCCGCCCTCGAGCTAACAAAACGATTGCATCATTTTTTGACGCCAACATCGGACAACGACTGCGGCTGCGGCTGCGGCTGCGGCTGCGGCTGCAGTCAAGGATGCGCAAGGCACGTTGTTAAGGCTGTTGGCCAACTTGGTAATCTATGGGGAATGCTGGCCAGCTAAGCTGCGGCCCAGCTGCTGCTCCAAGGTGATTATATTCTACATTTCCGGCTTGCATGTGGCCGTGTCATATTTTGATTTCGTTATATTCGTATAGCTTACAGCTGCCCACCTGATTATCGTGCTACTCTAGAAGTAGGTCTAAAGCTGAGATTGATATTTGTTGTTGTTGTTGTTGCTCTTGGCAATCACTTTGATTGCTGCGCTGTCTGTCAGTTCGTTTACTTTTGGGATCGCTTAATTTTAGAACATTTCTTGCTCGTCCTTTAACCCTTTTGTGCAGCTGCTGCTGTTGGCCTTTTGTTGCGCCATTTGGGCTTGCATTGAATTGCAAAATTGTTACAATACACCTACCACACACACACACACACCATCGTCCTGTTCATTCTTAGCCATTACCCAGTGCGCTCGACAGGCCGCGTTAAAATCTCCACTGACCGGAAACTAATTTGAAAATGTTATTCATTATGCATAGCGCTTGCAATGGCTGTTATTTTTCGCGCACTTCCTGCCACACTTTTTGCAAAGCTTCTTTTTCATTTTTATTATTATTTTTTTTTTTTTGTATTTATGCACAGTTTGTTGCAGTTTCCACGCTTGAAGTGTGTGCGTGTGTGTGTGTAAAAGTTTAAGGAAAAACTTTCGCCTTGCAGGGAGCGATAAGTGCCCAGATTTTAACTGGCGCCTGGCTGTGAGTTTTAACCAGATTGTTGCTTATGGTCTGTATTAGAGCATTTTGGCCGTACGCTGCGGTCGCCAGCTGCACAATGCATGAAAATCCATTAATGCAAAGCCAGCCAAAGAAAGAGATAGCAATAGAGATAGAGATAGAATAGAGATAGAGATAGAAAGATAGATACACCTGTCGTATGCCTGACACTTCAACTGTCACTTGTTAATTCTAATGGAAAGCATCTTGAGAACTAAGGAAACGACATAAATAATAAGTCGACAAATTAAGTTGACTGTCGCCGAAAGTAAAACAATACAGCAAGAGAGAGCTATAGAACGTTGCAACGGAAATGGCAAATGCAATGCTGCTGGCAGCCAGAAAGGCAGCTGAAACAATGACAGACAACGCGAGCGCAGGAATTGCCAAGTTTTAGAAGAAAGACAAAAGTCTGGGCAACGTTTTAAGGTTTTAAGCCACAGAGATAGATAGATAAAAATGGCGTGCGACGCACGGAACATGAACAAAAATGGCACCCACAAGAGCTTCCGGCAGACATCCGCTTTAACAACTCTGTTAGCCGCACACACACATGGAGAGAGAGAGAGAGAGAGAGAAAGAGTGGGTGGGTGAGTGGCTGGGTGGGGCAGAGGGAGTTACACACATGCGACTGCGAAATCAGCGACAATAAAGTGCGCCCTGCACATTAGCTGCGGGTCATGGGGTCTGGTTGGTGAGCAACGTTTTTGTCATAAACCCATTAAAAGTCAAGGACGAAATTCATGTTGCATGTTTATTCATGCACACTCACACTCACTCACACACACACACAGAGAGACAACTGTTATACTAGCAGCAGCTGTAGCAATAACAACAAGCATAACAACAGCAGCCACAAGCAACCGCCGCTTACAAAGTAGCTTTAATTAATGTAACTCATTAAAGGGCTGCTGCCAAGTCCTGGCCCGGCATCAAGCCAAATGCCAGCCAGGCTAAGCAGCAGGCCTAGACAGAAGCGCGCGCGCTTTGACCTGCCACAATGCGCTGCCACATATTAGCCTGGTCCACACCGACTTTGGCCCGCCCGGCTAGCACTCCATTTGCGACGTGTCCACGGATCCTGCCGAACCGACGTTGTGCTGTCACGAGCCACGCCACGAGTGGCTGCTGTTACGATGAGAGACGACCGTGTCGAAGGCACGAGAGCGCAACGAAGCTTTGCGGAGCGCCGGTTGGGGAAATGATTTTGGTAAAGTTTAAAAAAATTATTCCGAAAAAGTGTACTTCCCCTGAGTAAGCAGTTGGCAAAGCAGCTCAATACGAAATTAACTGCTTGCAAGGCAGTGGATTTCAAGTGTTATACGCTATAAATATTATATACACGAACCTGCGCACAGGTACTATAAAAATGTGACTCTTATACGCTAGCAAACACACAAACCTGTCTAAGCTAAGTTTATTATACAAGACTCTAGTACGTTAAAGCTAGCACGTACACGAACCTGATACTATTTGCCTATGAGACTCTTATACGGTAATACTAGCACAAACATGCACTTGCTTTTGTAACATTCTGTTTTAAGCTAATACAAATTCAGAAAACATTGCATTTGACAAAGCAGTGCAACAAGTAAACTCTAATAAATATACGTGTGTTATACAAATGTGACTCTTATACGCTATAATTAGCGCAAACACAAACCTAATACAAATTTGTATCTTTTAAATATATTTGCCGCTAGAGCTGCTTTTATGCCAATTTGGTAGAACTTTCCTTAATAGCAAAGTTCTCTCTGTCTCTTTCACGTTCTCCCTCAGGCGCTCTCCCTCACTGGATTAGCACACCTGTATGAATTAAACTACTCTCCGCTCTCCGCTCTCTCGCCCACACATGCGCCTCGGCGAGCTGTTGCTGCTGCCAGGACTAGGCCAACAGGCTGAGGCCTGACGAGGCCTGGTTGCAGAGCAAGCAACAGCTTTGGCTGCGACGCCAGCGCCAGCGTTGACATTATCATGTTTGACAACAGCAACAAAAAAAAAACAACCCCCCACGCCCCTTCCAACTAGAATCCACACGTCCTGTGGCATGCCCGGCACCTGCTGCATTTCCAAACAAAAGCCATTTATTTAGAATGGCAAGCACAAAGCGGAAGCAGCAAGAAAATAGGCAACATGCAACGTTACCTTGACAACGGCTGGTCAAAACAAACGCAAACATCGAGCTGAAAATTTCGACGCAATAAACAAAAGAGATTTATAGCAAAAAAAGAATTCCCAGCCATGCAATTAAAATATTTGCGAACGCTGCTCGAGGGACAGGTGAGGCGCAGGAATAGCTGTCATTGCCTAAGATTAACACACACACACACGCCCACTTTCTAGGAGCAAATCCAGCGTATTGCGGGTCTCGCCTGGTCACCCAATCAGCAGAAATTGGCCATTGCCACCGCCGATCGTCACATTCTGCTGTACGATGATGCCGGCGAGCGCCGGGACAAGTTCAGCACGAAGCCGGCGAATGCTGCCAATGGCAAGAACTCGTATGTTATACGCGGCCTGGCCTTTAGCCCGGACTCAACCAAGCTGGCAGTGGGCCAGAGCGACAGCATTGTCTATGTCTACAAGCTGGGCGAATCGTGGAACGACAAAAAGGTCATTTGCAACAAGTTCCCCCAGGCGGGCGCAGTCACAGCGCTCATTTGGCTGGCCACAGGCGCCATTGTGGCAGGTGAGTTGTGCCTCTCGAACATCCATCGATAGCTTCTCATTCTCAACGCGCCTCTACAGGTCTGGAAGATGGCAAGGTGCGCGCTCTGCACTGCAAGAGCAACAAATCGCAGAGCCTTTACAGCGGCGATAGCATCTGCATCTCCCTGGCGTCCAACACCAAGGGCAATGGCTTTCTCAGCGGACACAACGATGGCACCATCATACGCTACTACCTGACCGAGGAGGCCACCGAGCCATTGGGTCGTGTCGTGCAGCATCCTGTGCCTCCATTTGCTCTCGCCTGGCCCCAGGGCGGCTTCTGTGCCGCCGGCTGCGATCAGCGCATTGTCTTCTACGATAGTGTGGTACGTAGGTCAAGGGGGTCAAGGGTTGGCAGGATTGAAATACGTAACCTAGGGATAGCTATCAGATTGTGACCGTACTTACACAGAGTCTCTCTGAGGGTCATCAGCTTCTGCTCGTGCTCGATCTCTTCCTCCAACCTCTCTTCCATTGTCGCCCTCTTTGTTCTGTTTGATCCTCCTTCTTCCATCACCCCATTCTGCTCCTTTCTGTCATGCATATAATAATCAACTTTTAATCTTTCTCCTTTCTCCGCGCTCTGCTTTTCTTCAGGGCCGTCAGCAACGCAGCTTCGATTTCTCACGCTCCGAGGGCGAGCGCGAATTCACGGTAGCCGCCTGCAGTCCCAACGGGCAGGCGGTCGCCTTTGGCAGCTACGATCGCATTCGGATCTTTGCCTGGAGTCCACGCCAGAGCGCCTGGAGCGAGAGTGCCAGCAAGGAGATCAGCTGCTTGTACACATTGAGCGCTCTGATCTGGCGCCGGGATGGTGCTCGCCTCGCCCTGGGCTCCGTAAGCGGCGCCGTTCTGCTGTTTGAGTCGGTGCTGAAGCGCACCATCTGGCAGGATAAGGTCGAGCTGATCTTTGTGGCGCCCAGTCAGCTGCTGGTGCGCTCCTTGACGGAGCCCGCGCAGCAGCTGACCATCGAGTCGCAGCTGGGCCTGGAGATAGACGATGTACGTATCATGGGCAAGGACAATTTCCTGGTGGGCCGCACCGAGGAGTCGCTCATACTGTGCGACCTGACGCGCAATCTGGCCAGCGAGGTGCCCTGGACGGCATCGGGTCGTCACGAGCGCTTCTACTTTGAGAATCTGCACGTGTGCCTGATCTTCAATGTGGGCGAGCTGAGCCTCGTCGAATATGGCGACAATCACATTCTGGGCTCGGTGCGTACCGAGTTCGTCAATCCACATGTGATCTCCGTGCGGCTCAATGAGCGCGGCAATGGGCGGGATAACAAGAAGCTCGCCTTCCTCCTGGACGCCAAGACGATATGTGTAGTCGATCTGGTCAGCCAGCTGGTCAGCGGCCAGATCAATCACGAGACAAAGATCGACTGGCTGGAGCTGAGCGAGACGGCGCACAAGCTGCTCTTCCGGGACAAGAAGCTGCGTCTGATACTCGTCGACAATTACAGCGGCAAGAAGCAGACGCTGCTCGGCAACATCTCCTTTGTCCAGTGGGTGCCGCAGAGCGATGTCGTGGTGGCCCAAAGCAACAACAATCTGGCCATTTGGTATAACATCGATCTGCCGGAGCACGTGACCATGCAGACCGTACGCGGCGAAGCCATCGAGGTGATGCGCGAGCATGTAAGTCTAACATATTTCTGGTAAGGATCAGTCATAGGAGTTTCTGGTATCCGCAGGGTCGCACCGTGGTCCGCACACAAGATGGACCCAGCGAGCACAGCTATCAGCTGGACGAGGGCCTCGTCGAGTTTGGCACCGCAGTCAACGACAACGACTTTGGCCGGGCTGTGCACTTTCTGGAGTCGTTGGGCGATAAGCCGGCTGCCAAGGCCATGTGGCACAATCTGGCCACCATCGCGCTGGAGGAGGGCAATCTGCGCGTGGCGCAACGCTGCTATGCGGCCTTGGGCAACGTATCCAAGGCCTACTATCTGGCCGAGATGATACAGCAGGCGGATGACTTTGAGCTGGCCACGGGCAGTCCGGGCATCCACTGTCCCGCGGTGCGCGCCAAGCTGGCGCTGCTCGGCTCGGACTTGCGTGCCGCGGAGCGCATCTATCTGGAGCAGGGCGACATCGAGGCTGCCTTGGGCATGTACCAACAGCTGAGAATGTGGGATGAGGCTGTTGCCCTGGCGGAGAGGCGGGGCTATGCGCGCTTGCCGGAGCTGCGACAACAGCACATGGACTTTCTACTGGAGACCGAGCAGCAAGAGAAGGCCGGCCAAGTGCTCGAGAATGAGGGTGAGCTGCAACAGGCGATGGCGCTGTTCCTTAAGGCCAACAAGCCGGCGCGTGCCGCACGCCTGGCCCTAAAGACGCCGCAACTGCTGCAGGATGAGCAGCTGATGCTGCAGGTAACCGAGGGCCTGGTCCACAGCGAGCTCTACGAGCTGGCTGGCGACATTGCACATCGCTTGTCCCGGCCGGAGGCCGCGCTGGCCCTGTACCGCAAAGGCGGCGCCTACGCGAGGGCCCTGGAACTGGCGCGTGTCGTCTCCCCGCAGGAGGTGACATCGCTGGAGGAGCAATGGGGCGATTGGCTGGTCAGCCGCAAGCAGCTGGACGCATCCATCAATCATTACATTGAAGCGGGCGCCACCCAAAAGGCTCTGGAGGCAGCTGTCGGCGCCCGGCAATGGCGCAAGGCGGTCCAAATCGCCAAGGTGCTGGACGAGCCGGAACTGATCCAGCGTCATGCATTGGATCTGTCCAAGCACTTGGCATTTGCCGGCGACCTGGATGGCGCTGAGGATTTGCTGGTGCGCGCCAATCTCTACAAGGATGCCATCGAGCTGCTCAATAGCCATGGCAAATGGGAGCGCGCCTATGTGCTGGGCGAGAAGTATCTGAAATCGGAGCAGCTACGCGAACTCTTTATCCAGCTGGCCAGCAGCCTGGAGGAGCAGGCCAAGTACCGGGATGCCGAGAAGGTGCTGATAGCTGTCAACGAGCCGGATCTGGCCATAGCCATGTACAAGCGCCGGGAGTTATATGACTCCATGATTAGGCTGGTCGAACGCTATCACAAGGATCTGCTGGACAGCACCCATCTGCATCTGGCGCGCCAGCTGGAGTCGCGCGGCAAATTCAAGAATGCGGAGCTGCATTTCATTGCGTCCGGCGATTGGAAGTCAGCCGTGCACATGTACTGCTCCTCGTCCCGCTGGGAGGATGGCTACCGCGTGGCCAAGCAGAAGGGCACTGAGGGCGCCAGCCAGCAGGTCGCCTATATGTGGGCCAAGTCCATGCCCGTGGAGAGCGCCGTGCGTCTGCTGAGCAAGCTGGAACTACTGGACACGGCCGTGGGCTTTGCTTGCGACTCCGGACAGTTTGAGTTCGCCATGGAGCTGTGCCGGTTTGCGGGCAAGCCAACGGATGAGGTACACTTAAAGATCGCCATGTCGCTGGAGGATGAGGGCAAGTTCGAGGAGGCCGAGGCGGAGTTTCTGAAGGCGCACAAGCCCAAGGAGGCGATACTGATGTATCAGCATGCCGGCGACTGGCACGCCGCGCTCAATGTGGCCGAACTGCATCAGCCGGATGCCGTCAACGAGGTACTCATTGGCCAGGCGACGGCGGCGCTCGAGACGCGCAACTATCAGGATTACGAGATGCTGCTGGTGCGCGCCCAGCGTCCCGATCTGATCATCGAGCACTACAAACAGGAGTCGCTCTTCGACGACGCCCTGCGCATTGCCGAGGAGCATTATCCGTCGGCCTTGAACGATCTGCGACGTCTCCAGGCGCAACAGCAGCGTGGCCAGATGGGCGAGGATGCCAGCGCGGACTCGCGCGCCTATTTGCAACGCGCCGCGGAGTTCGCCAAGCGGGAGCAATTCCGCAAGGCAGCCGAGTGCCTGATGCAGATTGACGCCAGCAATGCTGAGGATGCGGCCACGCTGGAGCGTGCGCTGTTGCGTGCCGCCGAGATTGTCAATCAGTTTCTGGAGGGCAAAGATGCCCAGGAGCTGGCCCAGGCGCTGGGACCGCGTCTGCTGGCCATCAAGCAGATCGGACCGGCCGCCCAGCTGTATCTGGCCGCTGATATGCCCAAGCAGGCGGTGGATGTATTCATACGGGCCGAGCAATGGTCCAAGGCACGTCGCCTGGCCAAGGAGATCGATGCGGAGCTGCTGGCCTACGTGGAGCAGCAGCAAAAGTCACGGCTCAAGCACGAGGGAAACGTGGAGCAGCTGGCAGACATTGACATCATCAGCGCCTTGGATCTGCTGGCCGAGCAGGGCCAGTGGCAGCGCTGCCTGGAGAAGGCCAAGCAGCTGAGTCCATCCGTGCTCCAGAAGTATGTGGCCGCCTATGCGGCTCAGCTGATACGCGAGGGCGACTGCATCACCGCACTGGGTCTGTATCTGAGCTATGGGGCGCCGCCGATTGAGGAGCACTTCAACATCTACACGCGCATTGCTCTGGATTGTTTGGCGCTGCGCGAGGAGCAGTCGGAGGGCGGCGCCTTGTGGCAGAGACTACGCAATTTTTTGCATGGACTGCTGCAGGGGCTGCGCAACTCGGAGCACGGCCAGGCCAAGTTTACGGCCAATGCGGAGCAGTATCTACTGATCGCCCACTACTATGCGACACGTGCCGCCTGCAGGCAAGTGCCATCCCTGCAGCCGGTGGCGGTGCGTATATCCTTGGCGCTGCTGCGACACACGGATGTGCTGCCCGTGGACAAGGGCTTCTACGAGGCGGGCATGGAGCTGCGACAAGCAGGACGTGAGTCGGAGGCGTTTGTCATGCTCAATCACTATTTGGACGTGTGCGAGGCCATAGAGGAGGGCTCCGGCAATCTGGTCGACCATACCGACTTGGCGGCCACCGATTTTCCCAGCTCCGTGCCGCTGCCGGAGGACATACACCTGAAGAACGAGCCCAGTCTGCACGAGGAGGTGCGCGAATGGGTGCTGGCCGTTAGCATGGATCAGCAGGTCGATCAGCTGTTGCCAAACGATGATCGTGGCCTCTACGAGTCCAGCTTGGGTCCAAACGATATGCCCTGCCTGCTCAGCGGCTATCCGGTGCGTGGCCGCCAGCCGGTCACCTTTCAAGCGTCCAACAATCAGGTCAATCGCGATGTCTGGAGCAAGTTCGCGGTCGCCGTCAAGATGGCACCGGCCAGCAGCGTGACCGACATCATTGGCTTCGTGGAGAAGTGGCAGGGCGTGGCCAACTACGTGATGCACTAAGGTCACAAACTGATGCACTGATGCAGGCAAATAAATAATGATGTGCTCTATTTAACTGTCAATAAATGTTAATTACAATCAATTATTATTATTTTGTTGAAAGTGGCTCAAATACATGCGCACTACGGCCATTATAGTTGATATTTAATATATATTATGTAAAAATCTAGGATTTGACTCAGCACTTATCAAATGTTGTCCTCGAATCATCTGGATGTGCTGATGTTCTGTTGTTATCTGGGCATCCGGAATTTCGGGAATCGATTCAATGCAGTGTATTAAAGAGATCGCCGGCTGAGGGTAGCGGTGCCAGGCCGCCAGTTACGTCTGGCAGCTGTGTCAGGTCTGGCAAATTGGATAAATGATCGTGTATCTCTTTTTGCAGGCCCAACATCTTTGCCAGCTTCTTCTTGTGTTCCTGCAAATATACATATACAGAGCAAAGAAGAACGCGTTAGGCATGATGCAGGGTTGGGGGTGGCACTTAAAAGTTTGGATAGGAGCGTTTTTTCGAGTGGGAAAATGCAAGTATATAAATATATATATTGGAAATGGACCAATTCGAACATTTAATGCAAAGCAAAAGTAAATTGTTTTTCGTTTATAAATATTTTGCCAATCAACGTACATCCAAGCGCTGCTCAGCCTGAGCCAGCAGCTCCTTTTGTTCCGCCTGAAAGTCCCGCAGCATGGCGGCCAATTTGGTGCGCTCCTCCATTTCGGCTGAGAGACGTGCATTGTATTCATTCAGCAAATCCACGGCTTCATTGACCTATAGACCAAAATGGGACTGCTTAGTGAAATGCAGGTAGTTGGCACGATTCAAGACTTACCTGCTTGGCTAAGACCTTTGCCTTGTCCTTATCCTCTAGTTTGGTAATGCAGCTTATTTCCGATATCTCCGGCGGCAGCTTGGCGATGCGTTCCCGCACCAGCGCATCGCTGGACGCCGAATTCTCAATACTGGTCAGCGCTTTGATCAGCTCCTCGGGCTCAGGCGGTTCGCCCAATGGCAAATATGGCGGCGTATGCCCATTTTCCGCTTCAGCTGCTGGCGTCTCAACGCTGGCGCTCTGGTGATGCGATCCACGCGATCGCTTTGATTTCATGTGCCGCTCCTCATGCTTGCGCTTCTCGCGTTTCTCCGACCTTTCCGCTTTGTTGCCACTGCTGCTGCTGCTGCTGTTGTGGTTGTGCTTGTGACCCGCAGCAGTGTCACTACCATTGCCAGCGGTATTGGCGGCTGTTGCGGCGCTTGTCTCGCGGTGCATGCGCGCTCGGTAATCGGCAATGGCCTTGGGATCGTAGACGCCGCGCTCTTGCCATATATTTAGGATGCGTCCCAGGCTGCCCAGCAGCTTGTCTGAGCTGCAGGTTTCACCAATATGGCCAAACACTTTGGGCAGCACATTACTGAACTCCTTGCCGTATTCGGGGCCCTTCTTTTTGCTGTTCTGAATGACATCGTTGGCCAGATACATGAACGTTAGTTTCTTAGGCTCCGGTACTGTGAACATAGATAATGCTGGGTGTACTGAATCCTGCGCATGCTGGCTACATACCATTCTGTAATTCGCGCTGCCAGGTCTGCACTATGACCGTGTGGTGTTTGCGGTGATGTATAAGCCATAAGGACAATGTTTGTATGCTCTGCTGGCTGGGGTTCAGTTCCGACAGCTTCTTGAGTAGCGCGGATTCCGTAAACGCTGACATTGCAGCAGCTGTGAAACTCGGGCAAGTTCTATTTATATGGCGTACTTTATTTTATATGCAATACGAAAAAAAGGGACAGAAAAAATACGCACGGGCCGAAAAACAAAAATAATTAAATCTTCTTCTTCTCGTGTGATGATAACAGCGGCAATTATTTAACATTAGCTCTGACTGTTAAATAACAGCAGCCAAGCATTCCTTTCTGCTGTTACTTGTGTTCCCGGCATAACCAACTCGTGAACAATTTAATAAACAAAACTAACACTAAAATAAATCATATAATTGAAAATTACAGGCGCGTACATGAGGTTGTTTGATGGAACATTTACCTCAGCACTTGAAAAACAGCAGCTGCTTAAACGCACAACATGGCCCGAACAGAAACTCGCAAGGTAATGTTAAGTCCTGGAATAATCGATAAGCAAACGTTATGCCAACTCAATTTATAGTGAACAGTGCTACCTGACCGAATGCTGACATTCACTATTGGCGCGTCTTTTGAAATTTAAGCATGTATTTTATAAACAAAGTAAATGTGCGCGAAACAAATCTCATCTCATTAAAAAAAAAAAAACAAATGTAATTAATCAGCAACAGTAATGCGAACAAGCTTAACACTTTGACGCGCGCACTTCACACCGATAAGCGGTTCAAACAGACAGGTGTGATAGCAATGCGTCGCCACTCTTGCCACCAGTTGGTCGCAGAAGTTGATCGGTGCGAGACTTCAAGTTTTACAGGTGCGCAGCGTGTTGAATATATAGAGCACAACCGTAAAGCGTGTGCCTCAGCTCAGTTGAGCAGCAATAGCCGTAACCGTCGCTGGCAATCGACGACGCTTATCAGCTTTGCCAAAGAGTAATTTGTGATACCTGTCCGTTTTGTATTGGTTTTTAGCAGCGCGACGAGCTTAAGTGGTGTTAATTTTTATTAATTATTATCGTGTTTATTGCCAACGAAAGTGAAGTGCGTGAATTTATTTCAAGTGGTTGTGTGTTATTAGCCAGGCAACCACAATAAATTATAATTCTATCCAAAATCCAAGAACAATCAACTGCAGCACGGTCCAGTTTGCAACTGCAGCCAGAGATAGGGCTTTACAAAATTCCTAATAGAGTCTATTGGTGTGTGTATTGATATACAAGTGTGTGATTTACAAGCCATTAGCGCTATCAACAACACATTAGACAAATTGCAAAATTAGCTGGCGTACACTCTTTTTGCTTAAATATTATTTTTAACTACTTTTGAGTACAATAAATGATATACTTGAATCAGAGATATTCTTATATATCCCAAATAATCACACTAAATACGAACACTCACCTCGCTCAGTCCCACTCGCTGGCTCTCCCAGCTGCCTTGATAAGAGCCCCCTTTCCGAAGAGTTCCGTCAATAGTCTGGCCGACCGGCTCTGACTCAATGTTTTTATGCCCCAGCGCGTAGTGCTCCCAGGAGTTTAATCTGATTGTAAAAATATCAGACTAGTGGCTGACTCTTGATTGCGGATTAAAGGTTTTTCCTCGCATTTTTGTTGTTTTTATTTGTTTTTGTCAATGCTGGCCAGCAAAAATGTTAAAGACTTGAAAGATAACGAGCAAGAGCACCAGAATGAATTCACATGATCGGACACATCCGTTTCGCTCGCATGTCGAGCACGTCCAAACGGCGCTCAACGAAAAGAACTGGGAATGGTCCTTTCTGGTGGTAAGCAAGAATCCTTAAACACAGAGAGAACAATCCCTCAGCTTAATGCTGTTTGCCACAATCAGCGCAAATGTCGCAACCTGGAGCTGGAGGAGTCATATGAGCTGTATATGCGCCGGCTGCGCATTGGCTATCTGTCGATTTTCATCTTTATCGAGCTGCTGGTTACCTTCACCCATGCCCTGCTGCTGCTGACCTCGTCGGATCTGACCTATGCGTATATTGATATGGTCGCCTATGTGGTCACCGGTCTGCTTATTTGGTTAATACTCTCGGTCAACTTTCGCAATGAGCTGATTAGCAAGCACGGCTGGCTGATCTACGCCTCCTCCTGGCTGGCCGTCTCCATCCTGGTGCTGATGGGTGCGTTGAGTGCAATTTAAAGCGAGCGTGGGTAATGGTAATCCTTTGCTTGCAATTCTCCCACACAGATATTGGCCTGAATATCTACCATGCCACCACCAATAACGATATACTTAATCCCATCTACGATGCCTACACCTTATATGCCATCTACATGTTCATGCCAATTCCATATGTGCTGCAGCCCTTTATACTCGGCGCCGCGGTTACCATATGCTACATAATCAATTACAGTTTTGTGATCACTTCCAAGGAGGAGAACCAAATGCATAGCATATTCAAGTAAGAATGCCATCCGATGCAAAGAAGCTTCCTTTTCAATCCTTGTTTCCAGTGAAGCCATCTACCTGAGCTGCGTCAATTGCCTGGGCATCTTCTTCCGACTCATGCGAGATATTGCGCTGCGCACCACGTTCCTTGATAGGCGCCAGTACGTGGAGGAGAATCTGTTGTTGCGCTACGCGCGAGATCAGGAGCGCAGTCTTTTGCTTAGCATATTGCCCGCTCAGATAGCCGATCGCCTGCAGGAGGATGTCCGGAATCGCATTGAACGCTCCAAGCAACAACATCAGCGCAGACCCGGCTTCGATCACGGCCTTAACAACAACAGTCAAGCATTGAAGCGCTGGCGCCAACCGGATCATGGGTAAGGCTTACCATGCCATGGAATAGATATGATCCTTCTCTAACTCCACTCTTCCGGTCGACAGGACACTCTTTATCGAGCCGCACAAGGACGTGACCGTACTCTATGCGGATGTGGTGAACTATACGCATCTGACCACAACGCTGGACGTGAAGAAGCTGGTGGAGGCGCTGCACGATCTGTTTGTGCGCTTCGACATCGCCAGTGAGGAATATAATGTAATGCGCATCAAGTTCTTGGGCGATTGCTACTATTGCGTCGCTGGACTAGCCAGTCCCAATGAGGATCATGCCAAGTGCTGTGTCGATCTGGGTCTGCGCATGATCAAGGACATACGCGATGTTAGGTGAGACAGTCCATGGTCATGGCCCAGCTATTAATTTTCACGCTTCTCAGGGAGAAGCGTCATCTGAATATCGATATGCGTATTGGCGTCCACTCCGGAGATGTGCTGTCGGGCGTGATCGGCGCTGCCAAATGGCAGTTTGACATTTGGTCCAAGGATGTGGACATTGCCAATCGACTGGAGGCCACCGGCGCCACGGGACGTGTCCATGTGAGTCAGCAAACGCTGCGGCTGCTGGACGGCGAGTACTTCTTTGAGGATGGCACCGAAAAGGCTCGAGAGGATCCGGTGCTGCAGAAGCACGACATACGCACCTTTCTGATCAAGTCCCTGCGCGTGAGTATTGCCCACGACACATTAACCCCGCCAAGATGAAATGAATTACACAGAGTCGAAAGTTATAGGCCCCCATGCATGATCCGCGTCGGGTGCAGCGCGAGCGCCAGGCCAAGAAGCTGAGCGAGGCCAGCAAATCGAACTTCATGTACAACTCGACGCTGCAGCAATACAATCAAGTGCGTAACCAGGCCAAGCTGGAGATGTGCCGCGAGCTAGACAAAATGCCCATCGGTCGTATACAGTAAGTGCAGCTTTATCTACATAGAGTCAACTTAAACTTACCAAATAGCTGTTGATCTTCTACCAGGATCACCAAGGTGTGCCGCCGCTCCAAGAACCTCACACAGGATGAAATCGAGGAGGAGACCTTTCGACGCAACATCAGTTCCTTCTGTTTGCTCTTTCGCATACGCAACTGGGAGCTTCAGTACATACGGGAGCCGGATGTGATGCTCAAGTATAGCATTGCACTGGCCTGGTTTGTGTACATGTGCCTGCTGTCCATACAGCTGCTCAGCAAGGAGTGAGTGCAATCGCGAATTCCGAGCTATTCCAATCCATTAATGGCATTTGGCAATATTTTTTGTTTTAAGCGCCCAATACCACTACTGGGTCATCGATGGCATCACCATATTCGTGCTTACGACACTGCTGATCATCTCCTGGTACAAGAAACTTTGGATTATGTATGCCTCCGACGCGGAACAGTCGCTGCCTCAGTCCAAAATCAGCCTCCTTTTCTATAGAATGTCCGACTGCATGCAGCGCAGCATTACAATACGCCTCGTTGTCTACTTTCTCGTAATTCTTTCCTATGGTGGCGTGGCGACTATGCAAGTGGTGGGTAAAATATATATGTATAACAATTTTTGTACAATTTAATCAATTTCTTATTAGCTCAAAGTTAAATTACTTTTTATTTTCCTACACGTGTTAAACGTAAGCAGCAGTGGCAACGCTGTAAGAACGATTAAGCAGGGGCGTAATTAAGTTTAACTGTAAATCGCAATCTTTGTCCCTTTACAACACTTAAAGCTTGTGGAATGTTTCGAATTCCTGATTTTTAATGAGAAAAAGGTTCTTTGTGCTTGCAAAATGTGTCACATTTTTGCTATACTTTAAACGTTTGTTGTATTTGTTTTATTTATACTTTACAGCTAGACTGTAGATCCACATCCATTGAGGATGAAACAATACCGGGGATTAGCTTTGAAGAGCGCTTACAATGCTTTCATCCTTGGGTAAGCCCTGCCAATATACATATATAAAGTCAACTTTTGTATATAATCCAGCTTAATTCCCCAGATCCTGACTAACTGCATGACCCTAGTCATTGGCACATCCTTTCTGTTCACGCGCATACCCTTCTTTGTGAAGACAACTGTGGCGGTGGTCATCACTGGGACCTACGCGGTGCTGGTGGTCTTCGAGTTTGATTATATCTATGCCCTCAGTCCCTCGACGAATGTGAACTTTAATGCCGAGTATTCACACATTTTGCTCATTATTATAACGCTGGGCATATTCCATTTGATGGAGCGTCAGACTGAGTTCATAGCCAAAGTAGACTACAAGTAAGTGGTTTAGCATCTAAGTCCTGATTAGCCTGTCTAAAAGCAACAGCAATTGGCAGCTGGAAGCGGCAACTGATGCAGAAACAGGACGATGCCCTCATCACCAATGACACTATCAAGGTGCTGCTGGTCAATATATTGCCCGCTCACGTGGGTAAGTCTATTCCAAACACAGTGCTATAAACGACCCTAACATTGTCTTTCATCTGATTTCTAGCCGACTTCTATTTATCCACGCAGCTGC